TTAAGTATTAGTGGATAATATGTTAAATCAATCAAATATATCAATTGCTCATTCTTTACTTGCGCTATTGAGAAACGAGAGAAGGAATGTCATTCGTTGTTTGTGAGTTTCATCCATTCGTGTTATCGAAGATGACAAATAATGATATTGTGCAGAGTGTGGGTGTGGGTGCAGACAAAGAGAAAACCAACACCCACACCCTTTTTACGAGGGTGTGGGTGCAGACAAAGAGAAAACCAACACCCACACCCACACCCACACCCACACCCACACCCACACCCACACCCACACCCACACCCACACTCACACCCACACCCACACCCACACCCACACCCACACTCACACCCACACCCACACCCACACCCACACCCACACCCTATTGTTAGAGTGGTTCCTAGGGGATTAAAAGGTGAAACACGATGTAGATATTGTTGTTAATCGTGTGGAAATTGTTTTATCCGATCTATTTCGGAAGACATTTCTTCACGATTCTTTACTTAATTCTCTTAAACTTCAATAAGGAAGAAGTTCATATATCCTAATGAGACATTATTGATGTACGGTCTTCGATCGTATATCAACAACCTCTGTCACGGTCTGGAGCGGAGGGGGAGGGGACGATTTTCTACTCTGTATACTTCAACTAGAGCTCGTCAGGCCCATAATTGTTGAACCTGAAACCATACTCTTGATAGCCAATAAAATTTTTTTATTTGTATCTGAGTCGTCCCGAAACACTCTCTCAGCATTTTTCAAGCAAACTTGACGATGATCTTTTACTAATCAAGTTATAATTGGCTTTTTTTCAGAGTAGCGCCCGTGGAGTCGGCCTCTGAGTCGAGTAGATCTGGATCAGGGTTCGAACTTCAATACTCCTTTGAGATCGTGTTGCACGAAATAATCAAAATAGTCAATGATATTTCGATATTTTTGATTAAAATCGATTTTTCGCATCAGGCTTTTTTTTTTTTACATACAATAGTCTTCAATTATTTCAGTACTTCATATTCAACTGATTCATATTCAGCTCATATCCTATTTTAAAATACTTTTTGAAACGAGCGAAGTGCTCAAAATTTTATCGGAAGTTATCTGAAAAAAGGAAAATATTTATGATAAGTGTCTGAATGTCTAGAAATATTTGACTCTTCTCCACTCTCTCCAGTTTTGACGGATCTCTTTCCCTGATCTGGACATCCCAAATGAACGGTTTCAAAGCTTATTGTTATCAATTGATTTGCCATGTAATGGGTGATTATTGTTTTGTTTTTGGTAAAATAATAATGTTTGATTAAAATGACGTTTTTTTAAATAAATTTTTCCGATAGAAATATAAATTTCATCAATAGTTGATTGATCACGTGTTTTTTTTTGAAAATAACAATCAAGTAAACGATTATAATAAATTAATGATTGATCTAAAATACCTTTTTTATAATAAATATTTGCAATAGTTTTATAAATATGAATTAATGAAAAATCTTCATATAGTTTTGTTTTTAATTCATTATTAAGTAATTCAAGATAAATATGTAAAGTTTTATCTAAATTGAGTTTTTCTAAAACAAAATCTCCAAGATTTTGATAAGCATCACTTATTGATGTGTCACCTAATTGTATTCTTTCTAATTGACTGTCAAGTATTTTACGAAAATAAATTGATGCTTGATCATTATTTTGTTTTTCTCGATGAATATTTCCAATAGATTGATAAGTATCAATTACTGATGGAGTGCTCCATGATAATGTTTTTAATTGATTTTCTAATACTTTTTCATAATAAAATAAAGCTTTATCTAAATCTCTTTTTTTCATATATATATTAGCAAAATTTCTATACGTATTTGCAAAATCAGGATGATTATTTGGTATTGATTGTAATTGTAATTGATAAGCTTTTTCAATATATTCTAAAGCTTTTTCGTAATCATTTTTATTTAAAAACATTAATCCAATTGCATTATAAGTATAAGCAATATCTGGATGAGTATTAGAAAGTTCTTTTAATTGATATTCAATTGCTTTATCAAATATTTGTAATGCTTTTTCAGATTCATCGATTGCAACATAAATCTTGCCAATATTGATGTATGTATTTGCAATTATTGGATATTCAGTTTCTGATTGATATTCAAGAGATTTTTCTAAATATTCTAATGCAATATAATAATTTCTCATTTTAAAATGAGCATCTGATAAAGCTGAATAAATTTTTGATAGATTATTATTTGTTGATAAAGCTTTGCTAAAACATTGTAAAGCAACTAAATAATTAGATTGATTAGCATAGATTGAACCTAAATCATTATAACATAATGATAGAAGTGAATGATTATTAAGTGATGAATTATTTAATAAATATTTTAATGCTTTATTAATATTTGATATAGCTAAATGATAATTCTCCTTTTTATAATTAGCTTGAGCAAGTCCATAATAACAATAAGCAAATTCGATATCTTCTTTCACTAAATTTTGATCTAAAATTTTTTGAAAATGTTCTTGAGCAAGATTATATTTAAGCATCTGAATGAAATAATTTCCAATTGAAACGAATTCATTTTGTCCATTTAATTCTTGTTTTAATGATAATGAAAAATCTTCTATATCTGGATCATCTAATGAACATAATGTTAATTTAGCTATCCAAAGATTTATTTTATCATCATAAGATATGTTTTCAATACGAAAAATTGAACCCACCATAAAAAGAATTTCTTCTTCTTCTTGTGGAAAAGCACTAAGACGTTTTATATCAGCATATGGTTTAGTTAAATAATTTAAATTAACATCTATTTCTAATAATATTGATGTTAATTCATCATTAGGTGGTGATCGGCTTGTTGCAAATTCTAAAGCTTTTTTTCTATTTGTACTTGTTGATAAAAATGACTTCATTGAAATCAATCCTTGTTGACAAGATTTAAGACGATTAACTTCATCTTTACTAATAAACTGTCCTCGATAAACTTCTCTATTTGATGTTTTTTGTTGTTTTATAAATAATTTATGTTCTTTATGTAATTGTTTATTTAAATCTCTAATAAATGATCCAAATGGTATAATATCATCAATACATTGTGTTCTTAATGCTTGATTTAAAATTTTATAAATACAAGTTTCTCTTGTATACCAATGAATTGCTTTTTTCGATTTATATTCTTTATCAAATTCTGTCATTATTTGTTTATCAGTTTTATCATCTGGTTGAAAATATTCTAAAAGACTATTTTCATAAAATGTTAATGCTTGGTTTTTATTGAAAATTTGTTCAAGTAATATTTGATAAAGAATAAATTCTCCATTTAATGATTTATGCATACTTTTATTATCATTTGATGAATAAACATGTGTATTTATTCTATCTGCATTTTCATTTGTTCGTTGTCTATTTTCATTCATTATTTAATTATTAGTTTATTTTAATTAACTAAAATTTAAATTAAAAAAAAATTTTAACAATATAAATAAATACAAACTATTTCAACTTTTTTTAAGTAAAAAAAATTTTCGAATAGACAGATTTAAACTGAGAATTTAAATAAAACTTCAAAGTAGAAAATTATCAAAATCAAATTTAGTTTCATTAATATAACAAATTGACATTGTTCTCAAGTATATTTTATTGTTTATATTATAAATAAGTTTTTATTCAGTTTATCGAGAACTTGTTTAATCAATCTTGAAAATCTTTGTTTCAACTTAAATTGAATTCGTTGTTTTAGACATAAATTCATAAATGATTAATATTCGATTATCAATTCTAATATTCTTATTTTATAGAACGTTAGTCTTACTTACAAATATCGATGAAAACAATGAATTTTATAAAGGTCAGATATTAAAAAAAACAACTTTGCTCTCTTGTTTCGCGTTCCTATTATATAAAGATGATATGTCAAAGATAAATATTAGATTATTTTCTCGATATTAAACGCGTTTTACTGTGTTTTTTTATGTTAGCGTGGAACGGTAGAAAAAGACGTAAATAGAAATAATATTTGTTTTCTTAATGAGATTTATCAATCTGAATGAAGAGACCGTGTCAAATGTGTTTTTTTTTTGTCATGTATGAATAAAACGTAAAGCAGTGAGATTATACTGTCAGATATAAAATAGATACAGACTTAAATAGATGTTGACATTATCTACTCTAGACGAAAACACAATAATTCGAATTCGAACTGATTACTTTTGCTATTTGCTCGTTATTTTTTATTTTCGCATTTCGTTTTTCTTAATTTAACATTACTATAATTTTAATCATTGATTTAACTGACAAATAAGATTGTTATCAATATCCATTATACATACAGCAACAGGTCTCAACGCATACTATTATATATCCTAATCATTTCACACTTTTTATGTTGATCCTATGACAACTATAATAAATCAATGAATGACATACTCAACATTATTGACATCTTGAATAGAAATTCTTATTTACGCAAAAATCAAATATTCCAATCTTTAAAACATTAGAAAATGTATTCCAGTCATTCAAGGCTTTTTTCGTCACTCAGAAACTCTGAGAAATGAGTCTGATGTTGGTTGTCCTCGACTGCTTGAGAAGGAAAAGGAGAACCGGAAAACTTCGACTTAAAACTTACACTTATTATTTTCTTCGAAAATATACGTCAGTTCCACAAACTGATAAGTCAACTGTGTTTAAATATCTTTTAATTTTTCTTGTCCTTTTTTAAAAATAATTTTATGTGTTCAAGTTTTCTTTATCTCATAAATTGAATATTTTGGTTTTGTTTCTTTGTTTGTCAAAGATAGAAATATTTTTATTTAATTAATATTCATCTTATATATTTTCCATATTTATTTGTGACTTTCATAAAAAAAAAGACTAATATGAATTAATCCAAATAGAAATCAAATGAAGAGAATTTACGTATCTTTATTCTAACTATAATTATAATGAAATAATATATGTCTATTTATGTCAAAATTATTCTCTAAATTATTTCGAGCTAATTATCAATCA